GAATTTGGTAAACTGCATCCCCGTTTTGACTCCATATAACACAGAAAGCAAAACTATTAGCTAAGAGTTTTAACATTTTTTTTTTAAAGGAAAATAAGGAGAAGAACGGCTTAATGCAAACAAGCCCCACATACTTTAAAGGCATCTTCTCCAGGGTTAGTCTTAGGGACAGTTAAATCCAATAGCTATAACGGAGTCCAAAGTGAAAGGAGTGCTCCTGGATTAGCTATGCTCATCTCTGGATCCTGTCCCTGAAAGATAATTCATTGCTCTTTACTTATTTCAAACGGTAAGAGCTGAGCAAATAATATTTTTCTTCAGCATACAAGCATTTGTAAACATTACCACAATAGAAACCAATGCTGTCCAACAAGCATGACAAGAGTTCTTTATTTTATCTAATTTTAATGGTAATTATTTTTTGAGCAGGTAGTACCTTCACATGGCTCAAAATTCAAAGGGTACAAATAGATATATGGTAAAAAGTCTCCCTCCTATCCGTGTCCTCCAGCTCCTTAGTTTCCCTCACCAGAGGTACCCAGTGTGACCAGATACTTATGTATCCTTCCAGGGCCATTTCATAACATACATACGCATATGCATGCCCTTGTTCTTACAGATAATAGCACTCTACATGCTCTGCTGTATCTGTCTTTTCTTCTAACAATATACCTTGGATTTTTTTCCATATTAGGACATACAGAGCTTCTTCAATCTTTTTTCTATGGCTGTAAGGATGTACACTACTTTTTATACCAGTCTTTTATTGGGGAACATCTAGGTTGTTCCCAGTTTTTTTCTATTAAAAATAATCTTCGGGGCTGGCCCAGTGGCGCAATAGTTAAGTTCACATGTTCTGCTTTGGCAGCCTGAGGTGTGCCAGTTTGGATCCCGGGTGCAGACCTACCCACCACTTAGCAAGCCATGCTGTGGCAAGTGTCCCACATAAAAAGTGCAGGAGGATGGGCACAGATGTTAGCTCAGGGCCAATCTTCCTCAGCAAAAAGAAGAGGATTGGTGGCAGATGTTAGCTCAGGGCTAATCTTCCTCCAAAAAAAAAAAAATCCTGCAATGAATAACCTTTACGTCATTTTGCATCTGTGTAAGTTCAGGTGTGATTGACTAGACGGGGAATGAATGGTTCAAAGGACATATGCATTTATAATTTTGAAATTGCCAAACTGTCCTGCACAGAGTTAGTGCCAATCTGTATTCCCTCCAAGACTCTATGAGTACTTGTTTTCCCAAACACAGCATGCTGTCAATCCAGTGTATTAAAAATAACAATTCTGGGTAGTTTTAATTCACATTTCTCTATCTATGAGTGAGGTTGGGCATATTTTCAAATGTCTATAAGCCATTTATATTTTCTTTTCCATAAATTTTATGTTCATATCCTCGGTTCATATTTCTATGTGGTCATTGGTCTTTTTTTTTTATTTGTAGTAGCCTTTTAGATATTAGAGAAATTAGCCCTTTGTCTGTGATACGAGCTACACATCCTTTTCCTCAGTTTGTCATCTGCCTTAGTGTTGGTTATGGTAGTTTTTAGTTTTCACTAACAAACTTCTGAATTTAAAACTTCAAACATACGTAGCCAACATACTGAGTTTATTCTAACCACAGCCATCAAAGAGGCTTCAGATAACACTAGGAGCCCTTCTATTACCTCATCCTGGGGAATGACAAGTTGAATAAGCCCGTGGAAATCTCTGAGGACCAGGAAGGTGTTTTGCCTGATTAATGAAGAAAATGAACATGTTAGGATAAAATCTCTGAGCCCAAAATGTAAGCAGGCAAAACAAATTAAACAAACAAAAACCCGTGCAATCTCTCATGTTCCTTTTTATAATAAATAATTATGTGCTTTCATTGGCTACATTCATGCAATTGCTATCTGTGTAGCTTATTAATGAAAAAGCAGACTTTTTTCATTTTCAATTTCAATTTTTTTTTTAAGATTTTATTTTTTCCTTTTTCTCCCCAAAGCCCCCCAGTACACAGTTGTATATTCTTCGTTGTGGGTCCTTCTAGTTGTGGCATGTGGGACGCTGCCTCAGCATGGTTTGATGAGCAGTGCCATGTCCGCGCCCAGGATTCGAACCAACGAAACACTGGGCCGCCTGCAGCGGAGCGCATGAACTTAACCACTCGGCCACGGGCCAGCCCCTCAATTTCAATTTTTATTGGCTATATATATAGCTCACTAATGTTACCCTGATGGCTTATTAATGAAAAGGCAGATTTTTTCTTAATTTTTAATTTTCATTGGCTTAAATCTTTATAAGAAAATTTTATTAAATTTGCAAACTTTCCACATATTAAAACCTGGAGATAATGTTTAAGGCATTAGAAATATCTGATTGATCATTTTTGAAACATAACAATATAAGGTCTTCGGGCTGGCCCTGTGGCCAAGTGGTTAAGCTCGCGTCTTCCGCTTCGGTGGCCCAGGGTTTTACTGGTTTGGATCCTGGGTGCAGACATGGCACCACTCATTCGGCCATGCTGAGGCAGCATCCCACATGCCACAACTAGAAGGACCCACAGCTAAAATATACAACTATGTATGGGGGGGATTTGGGGAGAAAAAGCAGAAGGAAAAAAAAAGAAGAAGATTGGCAACAGTTGTTAGCTCAGGTGCCAATCTTTAAAAAAAATAAATGTTCTAAACAATATAAGATCTTTTCCTTAAAAAAAAAGATACAATCTAAAATTTTCTAGAAGAGGTCCAACTACTAATTTAATACCTCTATAAGCCATCAAAAGTTCCCCCAAATCTCAACATTTTAGCATTCAATCTACATTTCTCATACTGTCCTTAGTACCAGGAAGAGGTACAGAAAGCCTCCTCAGATTTTGAGTTCAGGGGCTAAAGTCACCACATTTACGGGTCAAATATCCACCCATTTGGGGCACGTTCTTTATGAAGGTCTTTATATTCTTTAGGAAGGCTACACAATCTATGTTTTTTGGATCTCTTCATTGTGAATTAATGTACCATTCAGATATGTTCTGGAATACAGAGATGAACAAGAACAAAGAAATGGACTCAGATAATCTTAAGGAATCATTATTCATGTTTTTAGGCTTGATCTCTATCTAAACATAGAATAAAATAAGCTTTTTCATGCTATTGAAGCTTAAAAGCTGGCCCATTCCCAATTACTGGTCCTAGGAAGTCTTCAACCTTAGTAACCCAAGGGACATTTCAGTCCATTGGTGGATCGCACTTCATTGTATTCAACAGATGTTACTGGTACTTACTGAGAGTAACACTATTTGGGTCTTTCAAAACAAAAACTAACCTAAAATTAAAACGTTGCAAAGCTTTTATTCTTCTGACTGGTTGAAAATTAATAAAGGTTTGGAATTGCCTTAGGAAAACCACCACCATGCATTCTTAAACCACCTGCCTCAATTCACCTTCGGTATTGAATCCATCCAAACAAGGTGACTTCTTGGCCTAAGTGAGAAGAACGCAACTCTCCACACGTGTTGGTCCGGGCAACAAAGCTACTGAATTCTTTAAAAAAGAAAGGAGAAAAAGGTAAGATTAAAAATATATCATTTGCAAACTGCTTTAAAAATACAGACTCAATTACATCATTTTAGGTCTTTCATGTCAATGGATGAAATTTATAAAGCAAGCCGAAGTAAGTAATTTGATTCAATCACTATTAAATTTACCTGCAAATGTGTCAAAGCCATGTGTGTAACTGTCTTAATGTAAATTTTTGCCTTGTGTTAGGAAATCTAAATTTTTTTGATCACCTTGTATTTGCCTTGACCTAAAATTACCCTATTCTTAATAGTGCACATTGCTTACCAAAATGAAACAGGATGTTAGGAATTACAGAAGTTTGATGGTGTAGTAACTAGCTTTAGTACAAATCTAGAGTGAAATAGTCACTTGTATACTAAAAAATACAATTCAAAGTATTCTCAAGTGTGAAAGAATTTTTTAGGCTGCCTATTAGTAGCATCAACTAAAAGTAGAATAGCCTATCCATGTGGCTACTTTTCTGGTCGTTCTAAACACCAAGGAAAAACCTACATTATATGGAATGAAGAAAGTGAATGATCTGCTTCTACACATAAGGCTATCCAGTTAAGACTAGGGGAAAATGGAATAAAGGGCCTCTAGGTGCAGAAAACAGGAGGAAGTCTGTGCTGGGGACAGCGCTCTTCATTGCTTTCACCTGGAATTCTCCTCCGTGAACTCAGCACCAGACTTCTGGAGAGAGAACCCCAGATCAGCTGGGTGGTCCTTCCGGTGGGGCTGGATAAACCCCGGTAGAGCCGATTTAGCCAACAGAACATGTTAGAGCCGCAGGGTGGCGAGAGGCGCTCACGAATCCCACTCTGCCGGTTTTGGATGGTGGTCAAAAGTCAGTTTTGGAAAAACACACAAATCCTTTAAAAATGCTAGGAGTTCTCACTCTCTTTTCCAATATTTAAGCCCTTCTCTGCTGAACATTCAAGTACACGTGTCTGGAAACTAGAAAAATCTTAAAGGTCTTTGGGGCCCTTGGGGGAGCGGGTTGGGGAAAGTCCTTCCAGCCCCTCTCAGTGCCCCGTTTTCCACTTCTATTAACAAAGCTGCGGCCAGATGTTTCGGGAGAACGATTCCACACAGCAGCGCAAGGCGGGAGCCCGTGACCGTGCAGAGGCGGAAGGGGCCGGTCACCTGGCTACGCCCTTCCACGCTTCCCCGAAGGCAGAACCGAAAAACAGGGAAGAACCCGGCCTCGAGTTTCAAATCTCCCAAATTTGGCGGCCGAACTCGAGTCTTCAGCAGGAGGAAGGCGAGCAAATCGAAAAGGTTCTCAGCACCCGAACCGATAAACGCCCAGCCGCTGGGAGCCAAGCGCTGCCCAGCCCGCCCCACAGAGCGCCCAAGATACGGCGAAGGCGTTCGACCAATCACAGCAGAGGTGCCCCCGCCATGCTTACTACGGGCGGAAATGTGAAGGAAAGCGCACCGGAAGAAGAGAGCTGCGGGGGGCAATAGCGCGTAATTATGCCAGTTGACAATAATGGTTAGACGGCTCTACCTTGCCCTCAGTTAACATGGCGACCTAGTTGCTTCACCGACTTGGAATCGGCGCCAGGGAGTCTTCCTGCGTCGGGCCGCAGAGCGAGTCGGGAAACGATTTTAAACTGAGGAGGCGCCGAGGTTTGAGTTGCCGCTTCTCAACGGCGGGATTTCCGAGCTGGCTTTAGTCCCTGAAGGGCTCAGGTGGAGAGGGGCGAGTTGGGACAAATTGTCCCTTGCCCTTCCCCTCCGCGGGCAGAAGCCAACTCCGCAGGAACGAGGGTCGCAGAATTGGGTGGCTCTGTCAGCGGAAATATCCCTCCCGGGGTGAAGGCGCAGGGCTTACCTGGCGACGGAGGGCGCGGAGGTCTCCTTACTGGGCGCGTTTGTGTCCATCGTGAACCCATTTGTTGGGGATCGAGAGGGATTTTGGGAGGGCCAAGGCTTCCTCCGGACGCTCTCGTAGCTGTCACTTTGGCGGCTTTCTTGCTTCAGGGGACTTCAGTCTCGACGTAGTTTTGGACCCGGACTTGAAGCATGATTCGTGAGGCTGGAATGGGTGACAGCGTCATCACGGCATTTTAGTGGTAAGATGCTTCGTGTTGGGCCAGGACTGGCAGCAGACTTTATATTTTGTCCTGTTGTACGGTCGTTCTCTTTACAATACTTGTGTCTTGAGGTGAGTTTCACACTACGTGCTTAGCACTCTGCTAAGCGTTGGTGTTGGGGCGGTTGGATTTAGGTGTTGGTGGCAATGTAGAAAAGTGATGTAAGTCAGGGTCCCTTCCTTCATGGACAGGCCACAAGAAAAAATAACTCAGTTGTAATTGTGTGTTATGAACCACAGATGCAAGAGGAGTTGGCGGATTGGTTTCAAAAGGAATGAGATGACTTGGATTTAAACAAAAAACGTTTAGTGTTAGGAATACTATCATATCTAGCTCTATGGATATGGCAGAGCTTCTCCTGAGGAAGTGAAACGTGCAGGTCGGATTGGATTTGGTCAGACAAGTGGCAGGAGAGAAGTATTCTTAGTTGGCGATAGGTTGAATAAAAATGTCGGGGAGCAGAGACAAACATGACAGGCGTGAGGAGCAATGGGGTGATCATCAGTCTAGGGTAGGGGGTGCCTGTTTGGATGTAGGGCAGTGGTTCTTAACCTTTAAAAAAGTTGTCCATGTATACTGGACTTTTCCTCACCTGCCTCTGCCACCAAGTACACGTGCATACAGCGTTTTGCTTACAACCTTAGAGCGTTGTTGGATTTTGGAGGCCGTTTGTTTGTGGGTCTTGGGGTAGGAACTCCTGAAGTAGTAGAAAATGAACCTTGATAGGATCAGACAATAAGATCAGATAATGCGGTGCCCTGAAACCCAGACAGAGCAGTTCTGACTTCATTTCAAAGATGTGTGGGAATTGTTATGGAATCTCAGGCAAGGTAATGACAAGGCAAAAGTGGTGTCTATGGAAAGACTAGTCATGGATTGGGGAAGGGGGTTAAGATTTGGAACGAGGTAGGTGGCTGTAATCAAGAGTGGAAGTGAAGGCCAAGTCTGAGAGGGCTAGTGTATATCCTTTTAAGAAGTATGTGAGAATTTGATAATAAACTGGATGTAAAGGTGAAGTTGAGGGAAGAGTGAAAGATGACCACGATGTACTTTAAGGGGCAGGGAAGAAAATGAGAAGGAAGAATGGAATTATTACTGAGAGAAACAGGGTAGTTGGAAAGGAAAGACTGGTTGTGAAATAATGTTTAGCTTTGAACTTAATGAGTTTGAGGACACGAAAGGTTTAATGTCCTACAGGAAATTGGAAATGCTGGTGCAGAGGTCTGAAGATAGAGATTTAGGAGTCATATGTAGGACGAATGTTTTCATATGCAGAATGAGTGATTTCAGAGGGACACCCACTGTTGGGACAAGAGGAAGAACAGAAATCAGCAGATAAATCGGAAGGAACTATAAGAAATAAGGAGAAAAAAACCCTAAAAATTGAGTGTCTGAAAAAAAAGGTAACAGAAAGTTTAGAGGAGTAAGGATGGACAAATTTGATGAACCAAGTATTTGGCCATGGTTTTAGCAAAAACATTGTTGGTAACCTTCAAAAATGGAGTTTCTTTATAGTGATGGATACAGAAAAGAGATTGCTGAAGATTTCCAATAAGATATTCATTAGTAATTGGAGGCAGTGGTTGTATACCACATTTCCAGGAGATTGGTCTCAAGAGAAATGAAATGAATTGGATTTAAACAAAAAATTTTTAGCGTTAGGAATACTAGAATATGCGTGGCAGTGGAAGAAAAATATCCTGTGTAAGAGATTAGAGATAATAGAGGTTTGAAATAAACATGGGAGGTGGTGTCCAAGGGCGATGTAAAGGGATATGGGGACCCAGAATATTGGTTGAGGGATTAGCTTTAGAAAGCAAGTAAGAGGATCTGTTTCCTTACAATTGGAAGGAAGAATATTGGGACAGTAAAATATTGAGTCAGGATATATTTTCAACCTCTTAATTATTGAGCAGGGCAAAATTACACATTGACTGTGGAGTGAGAAGGTAAAATAGATATGTAGTTTTCTAATCTTCAGTGCATGGATTGTGCTATTTCACATTACTGTTAACATTAAATACTCAAGCGAAATGTCTTCTCAAAACCAACCCTCTCAGTGCTAATAGTCTTTTTCTCACATAGATAGACTTTAAAATCTTTTTGGAATTCATAGCATTTCTCTTTTAAGGAGTCAAATCCGGTAGGGCTTATTTTGCCTTGAAGTTGGTCCCTGTTGAAAAGCAATGTGGAAGAAGTAGGTAAGAGCCCCTGCTCTCGAGTTAGACTGTCTGGGTTCAAATCCTGGCTCTTTTGCTCTTTAACTGTATGACTTTGGCAAGTTACTTAACTTCTCTGTCTTCCCATCTCTCAACTGGGAATATAATAATCCATCTCATGGGGTTGAGGATTAAATGAGAAAATATTTGTTAGGGGCTTAGAAGAGTACCTGGCACATGATGAATAGTTAATAAATGTTACCAGTCATTCCAAATAAAAAATTTGAAAGAAACATTCGGTGTAGACAAGAATTTAAAACTCCCTTTAAAATAGATAATTTAGTGTGCATTTGAAGATAGAATACTTTAGAGTAGCTGCTGTTTAAATTGTATGATATATGATCTTGCTTTGGGCGTTACTGGAGCTTTGAGAACTGTATGTTTAATTTATGGAGTTTTGTGCAAGATATAGAGGGTATCCTACTTTGACATATTGAAATTTAAATATAGTAACAAATATAACTTTCCATTTGTGAAAAACTTTTTAAAAAGGGTAACTATGCCAGTACTTGGGAGTAATTATTATAACTTTTAAATCATAATTCTATTCAGTGGAAGTTATATCATAATTTTGGAGTTCTGTGAAATACTTCTGTTCAATGAAACCAATACTATTTAACAATTAAGGAGCACTCAGCATTATATTAAGGTAATTATACAAGAGAAATATAAAGCATGGTTTCAGTCAGAGTAGTTTAGTCTTGCTGGGAAGAGAAGAAATGCACACCATAAAAATAGTGCAAGGACGTCTAAGAATACTGGCCAAAGTGAGTGGCACAGACTGGGTGATAGAGGAGAGCTGCATAGGCTGGTATATTATTAATCTCCAAAGATTTTATAGAATGTTTTTGAGAGATTTTATTGACTCATCTAGAGGGTTTGGGGGCTTTTTCAAAATATTTACCCCTCAGATCTCATTCTACACACACACGTGCACCCCCCCCCCCCCCCACACACACACACACACTGCTTCTAGGAATGAGACACTGATGCAGACAGAAGTCTATAACAGGCATTCTAGGGAAGAAGGTTAACAGAACTCTACTACTTGAAAGGGGATCAAATTCAAGCCTGGTCTTAAAGGAGGTGGAATGGAAAAAGGATGCTTCAGATAGGGAATATAGTTGATAGGTGAAAACATGAAGACAAGAATATGTTTGTGTGTAGGAGAAGTAGGAGGGTAAGGACAAGCTGAATTATGAAAGATCTTAAATATCCAGCAGAAGAGTAGAATTTATCTTGTCGTTGTAAAGTTTTTTGCACAGGTGACTAATAATAAAGTTCCGTTTCTGAAGAATGAGTTACCCTTAGATATAGAAAGCACTTGGTTATCCTAGCAAGAACCTGGCTAAGGAAGTAGCTTTGGGAATGGATGACAGAGAGACTATTGAAGGAAAGACTCTAAAGAATGTGCTTAATGACTACATGTTAAAGAATGAAAGTGGGAGACTACTTAAATGAATTTAAATTAACTTAGAAAATTGACAGGAATTTGAAAATGGACCAGCTAGCTTTTGGAAGGAGGTGGCTAGGAAGCAGGTGAATTTAGTTTTGAGCTTACTGTGTTTGAGGTATCTGTAAGATAGTCATAAAAAATAGCCTGTAGCCAATGAGAAATACAGGACTTGGTTGAAAAGTCAAAACTGGGGACAGGGAGGGGGAGGGAGAGAGAAATAATTCCTTTATAGAGAGGAGAAGACTCAGTGAAACTGAGCGTGAATTAACTCTTTGGTGTTCAAAACTTTGGTTTTATTATCGTTTACGTAGACCATGGATTCTTGTGATACACCAGAATCGACTCCTAGACAACGTGCATCCTCAAGGCTTAAAGATTACTTTATAGGTGCCACCCCTCTGCAGAAACGATTAGAATCGGTCAGGAGGCAAACCTCTTTTGTCCCAACTCCACCTCGAAGGAAAATTCCCCAGTGTTCACAATTGCAGGTATGCTTTTTGTGTTCTTTCGTGTTACTCAGTAATTGAGAATATCTCTGAACAAAGAATTTCAACTTTTGATAGTATTTATAGTATCTTCTTAATCCCTCAGGTAATAAAATAAATGAGAAACAGCTAAAACAATTATTCACACTATCAGTACCTCCTCTGTTATATCTTTTAACCTCCTTTAATCTGGAACATCCACAATATTTGTCTTTTATTGACACTGACATTTTTGCAGAATATAGTTTCCTCCTCTCTCCTTTTTATTTATTTATTTATTTATTATTATTATTTTTTAAAGATTTTATTTTTCCTTTTTCTCCCCAAAGCCCCCTGGTACATAGTTGTTTATTTTAGTTGTGAGTCCTTCTAGTTGTGGCATGTGGGATGCCTCCTCAGCATGGCTTGATGAGTGGTACCGTGTCTGCACTGGCAAAACCCTGGGCCGCCAAAGCGCAGCGCTCGAACTTAACCCCTCGGCCTTGGGGCCGGCCCCCCTCCTCTCTCCTTTTTAAATAGAATATTCCTCATTTTGTATTTGTCTGATATTTCCTCACGATTAGATCGAAGTTATGTTTTCTCAGCTAGGATACTGCATAGGTGGTGTTGTGTCCTTCTTGGGGAAAAACATCTGGTAGCACTTGGTGATGTTAATTTTGATCATCCTGTCAAGATGTTGCCCAATAATTACCTTTTTGTTCCCCTCTGCAGCTAATAAGCAGTCTGTTGGGGAAGACATTTTAAGATAATGCAAATATCCTATTCCCTGTCAAAATTTCTCCTAACACGTAACGTCCATTAATAATTTTTGCCTCATCCCATCTTTATCGTGATGGTTGCAAAATAATGATTTTCCAACTCCATTTGCTCCATATTTACTAACCAGGCTTTGGCATTCTGTTGTAAGCCCTTCTCACTTCTACATTTATTTATTTATCTCTTTATTGGTATGGACTCATGAATTCCCGTTTTTCAAATTTTTCTAGTTCCTCACTAAATTATTTTGATGTTTAAATTGTTCCAGATTTGTCTGGTGACAACAGGCTCTTGATCATTCATAAACAACCCTGAAGATATATAACATTATTGATTTGTAATTTTACTGAAACATGAAATAAAACCCTGATCAATACAAGTTTTGTGTGTGGTTTTGAGTCACCTAGCAAGGAGCCTGCTGATCCATCACCCACATGCTCTTATAACTTTGTTTTCTTGTCAGTGTTGAGTACATAGTATCTTCTGCGATATGAGAAAACTTTTGTTTCTTTGTGAAAACTTTCTTAAAGAAAAATTACTAGTGCTGGTAATGAAAGTGATGGTTCTTAACCAGAAAACAGAAAGTGTATATAAATTAAAGGTTGGAGTGTCCAATTCAGTGCTTCCTTCTGTCTATGATATAAATAATTTTGTTGTACCTTTTGATAGTAATAAGAAAAAGGTTTATCACTTTTTAATAAAAGTATATAACTGTTTCCATGAATACTCTAATCAGAACAAATATTTTTGTCAAGTAGACAACTGTGGTGAAAGTTCCAAAAGATAGTTGGAACTGTGAGACTATGCCAGGAAGTATGAATTCTATAGAAAAATTCAGTTCAGGATAGAACCAGGAGCCTATATGGGATGACCCTCAATAAGGCCTTAGAGCCAATGCAATTGATGGTACGTTGGTTCTAATAGAGCATGGCCAAAAAATTTCCATGTTATCTTTTAATTTAATCTATTGAATTAGGCATTGTGTCAGAGTAGATTTACTAGAAACAATTTTAAAAATCACTTAATTAAAGTCAACCTAATTAGATGCTCCAGGAATAGTTACTATTTTCAAAATCTGTAATTTGAAGTTTCTAAATCTGAAACATAGATGTTCATCCAATAAATATTTACTGAACACCTGTTGGCGTTGTTCTAGGTGCTAGAGGTGTAATAGACAATAAAAATCAGATAAATATATAATGTCAGTAGTAGATGCTGTGAAAAAAATAAAACATGTTAAGGAGATGTAGAGTGACAAAAGTTGGAGTGGGTGCAGGTGCTACTTTAGATAGAGTGGCCTCTTGAGTGACATTTGGGCAGAGACCTGAATGAAGGAAAGGAACATACCAGTGAACCCCTGTGGGAAGAGCTTTCCAAAGGGGGAGGTGCAACAAATGCAGAGGCCCATTCAACGATCTTCAAAGAGTCCTGCAAACTCCAGTTTGGCTAGAGTACAAAGATCAAGTATCCACTAATAGATTTGTATTAAGTATGTGAAATCTTATGATTAAATTCTTTACTCATGTTTCCTAATTCTTAAACTTCTTTTGTTTTGATTTTCTTTTAGGAAGATGTTGATCCTCAAAAGGTTGCATTCCTTCTGCATAAACAGTGGACTTTATATAGTTTAACTCCCCTATATAAATTCTCCTATACTAATCTCAAAGAGTATTCTAAACTTCTGGGTGCATTTATTGCTGCTGAAAAGCAGAAAGGACTTGCTGTAGAAGTGGGAGAAGACTTCAACATCAAAGTGATTTTCTCTGCTCTCCTAGGAATGAAAGGAACACAAAGAGACCCTGAAGCATTTCTTGTCCAGGTATCATATATAAGCAATACTTGCTTCCTAGGGGAAAAGAATCTGCATTGTCTTACTGTTTTTAAAATTCTTAGGCTTGTGATTTATAACCTATTGTTTAAGCTATTTTGTTGAGGTCATATTGGCTTACAACATTGTGTAAATTTCAGGTGTACATTATTATATATCAGTTTCTGTGTAGACTGCATCATGTTCACCACTGATAGTCTAGTTTTTATCCATCACCATACATATGTGCCCCTTTCTCTCGCCCCCTTCCCCTCTGGTAACCACGGATTTGTTCTCCATATCCATGTGTTTATCTTCCACATATGAGTGAAATCATACAGTGTTTGTCTTTCTCTGGCTTATTTCTCTTAGCATAGCACCCTCAAGGTCCATCCATGGTCTTGCAAGTGGGATGATTTTGTCCCTTTTTTTATGGCTGAGTAGTATTCCATTGTGTGTGTGTGTGTGTGTGTGTGTGTGTGTGTGTATACACACACCACATCTTTTTTATCCATTCATCCATTGATGGGCACTGAGGTTGCTTCCCCTTGGCTACTGTGAATAATGCTGCCATGAACATACGGGTGCATAAATCTGTTTGTATTGTTGATTTCTTGTTCTTTGGATGGATACCCAGTGGTAGGATAGCTGGATCATATGGTGTTTCTATTTTTAATTTTTTGAGAACTCTCCATACTGTTTTCCATAGTGGTTGCACCAGTTTGCATTCCCACCAGCAGTGTATGAGGGTTCCCTCTTCTCCACATCCTCTCCAACACTTGTTATTTCTTGTCTTGTTAATTCTAGCCATTCTGATAGGTGTGAGGTGATGTCTTAGTGTAGTTTTGATTTGCGTTTCCCTAAGAATTAGTGATGTTGAACATCTTTTCATGTGCCTGTTGGCCATCTGTATATCTTCTTTGGAAAAATGTCCGTTCATATCTTCTGCCTGTTTTTTTTTTCATTTATTTGTTTATTTTTGGATGTATATCATAATATATTTTGAATTCTGTGTAGATTACATCATGTTCGTTCTGCCTGTTTTTTGATCAGGTTGGTTATTTTGTTGTTGAATTGTATGAGTTCTTTATATATTTTGGAAATTAACCCCTTCTTGGGCATTTGGTTTGCAAATATTATCTCCCACTTGGTGGGTTGTCTTTTCGTTTTGTTCAAAATTTCCTTTGCCTTAGGTCTGCTCTGTGTTTTATGCTTTTTGCATTATTTTTTAATCTCATTAATTGTGTTCTTCATCTCCAGAATTTCTGTTTGGTTCTTTTTAGAATTTAGGTCTCTTTGGTGAAGTATTCCTTCTGTTCATTAATTTTGTTCCTGAGCTCATTGAACTGTGTTTCTGAGTTTTCTTGTAACTCTTCAAATTTCTTTGTTCCTGTTATTTTGAATTCTTTGTCAGGTAGATTGTAAACTTCTGTGACTGCAGATTTGGTTTCTGGAGAGTTGTCATTTTCCTTCTGTTCTGCAGTGTTACTTTAGTTCTTTATGGTATTTGATGAATTGGTCCTCTGCTGTCGCAGTTGTGGGAGTAATCACCTTCTGTCATTTGGGTATGGCCTTGATTACTTTGGTTCTGGTCACCTCAGTCTCCTGTTCCTCCGCTGGCTCTCTGCAGGCTTGGATGCTATTGTCCTTTGCACCGTCTGTGTTGCTGTTTCCCAGTTGTCTGGGGGTGCTTGTTGTACCACTGCCAGGGGTGCTGGGTTCATGGGTGTCACTGGTGGGGTCTTGGGGACCTGGGTTCTTGTATGCAGTCCCTGCTGCTGGTGAGTTGGTGTTGGGGGTGTTGCCACTGGGGGCTGGGTGCTCCCACCTTGTCTGCTTGTAGTTGTGCAGTTTGGGTCATTGCTTCTGCTGTGGCTCCACCGACCATACACTGTTGTGGGGTGGGGCCACTGCCATGCTGCTACCTCCTGCCTTGGACATTTTCAGGCATGGAGCCGCCACTGGTCATCACCATTGCCCTTGGGGCGTTCCCACATTCAGGGTTGCCACTGGCTGCTGCTGCCTCTGCCGCTGCTCCTTGGGCATTCCTACACGTGTGAGGCCACTGGCTGCTGCCGCAGCCTCCCAGGTCTTCACGTATGTGGGGCTGCTGCCACTCCACCAATGTTTGGGTGCATGGGGCTGGGCCGCTCTCACCTCTGCTCAGTTGTGTGGGCCACTGTGTGAGGATCCACATCCTGGATTGCTGCCATGGGGGGTGAGGAAGGGGGTTGTTCCCCTAGTTCCACTCTTCAGGGGAGTCGCGTCCCCCCACCTTCAGATGTATAGCCGCCTGGTCTCTTAGGTGTCCTGTTGTGCTCTGTAGGGAACCCTCTGTTGGTCAATGGATGTCTGGTTGTACTTCAGAGGCAGGAGACAAAGGGAACCTCCCACTCCGCCATGATGCTGACATCACTCTCCTTGTTTGTTTATTTGTATAGATCAGGGGTCAGCAAACTATGGCCAGATCTGACCCATTGCTTGTTTTGTAAATAAGGTTTGGTTTTTTTTGTTGGAACAGAACCCCTTTAGCTTTCTTTCATATTGTCTATAGCTACTTTTGTGTTACAAGAGCAGAGTTGAGTAGTTGCTGCAGAGACCATGTATCTTGCTAAGCCTAAAATATTTACTACCTGGCCCTTTACAGAAGAAGTTTGCTGACCCCTGGTATAGATCATAGTATTGACAAGAATCTCAAGATTCCTAGGAGTAGGTTCAGGTGCATATAACAGAAAGCCTAAATAATGGTGGAGTAAACAAGATAGAGGTTTATTTGTCTTATAAAAAGCTGTCTGGAGATAAGCTGTCTAAGGCAGGTATATGCTTCATGAAATTATTAGTAATCTAGGTTCCTTCTGTCTTCTCTGTGATCCTTGGTGCATGGGTCCCATCCATGAGGTCACCTTTTAGTCTAAGATGGCTTCTGGAGCTCTAAATATTATATTCAAGTTCCAGGCAGGCAGTAGGAGGAAGATAGGAAGGACAATCAGGATGCCTGCTGCTGAGTAAATCTTTTATGAGACTTGCTGAGACCCAACAACTTCTCTTGACATCCCAGTTGGAAGGGAGACTAGAAAAATTTTCTTTTTTAGTGGGTACTTTGCCACCTTGAGTAAAAGCACAGTTTTATTGTGGAAGGAAAAATAGACACTGGGTAGACAATTAGAGGTAGTTGATGCCCAGAGAAGTTATGTGGTTTGCATGTCATCAGGCAAGCAGATGTTCTTGTGAGGAATAGAAATGACCTCTTGAATTCCTAGTATAGTGTCCTAATAGTTTTCAAATTAAATCTCATTTCTTGACAGGGTTACAGGACTCTTAGATCATGAAAGTGTGATAGGCATAATATATCCGGGCTTTAAGGTATTTGAGAGTCTCTTATAATCCCTTGAACAAGAAGGAGAAATATGGTAAAATAACTACTTAAATGATCATCTCTAAAGGGATATAATACTGGGCTGTGATCTTCACCTTGCCCTGGTCAAGCTTTAATTAAAACTTCTATGAATATCTGGAAGGTATGTTTGTCATGTAATTTACACATTTAGATTTTGAAGCATTAGTTAATCTGCTGGAAAATATAATCAAGATTCTAAAAGATCTGAATGTGTTGGCACAATGGGCCAAATTGAAAGAGATTAAAATTTTAAGCCTCAGTACAGGTTGGGGAGGATTTACCTGTTACCAGCAAAAATGAATATGTTGGGCTAATTTATGTAAAGTTGTCAACTAAAAACCAGAGAACTACTCTAATCTAAGATTATGTTAATAGGAGTATAATCTAGGTTAAAGATAGTGACAGTCCTGTAATTAATCAGACCTCTTTGAAGTAATTAGGTTCAGTTATGAGTGACTCCCATGCAGAAGAATTTCAGAGAAGAGTGACCAGGATAGTTTGAGAACTTGAGTGTATGTCCTAGGAGGAATGGTTGAAGAAACTGGAGATGTTGAACTTGGCAGTACATATGATAGGGATCATCAGACATTTGAAGGGCTTTTCCTGTAGAAGACAGGTTACATTTGATTTGTTCTATATGCATGTAAGGAAGAAAGCAGGAGTGGAAACTGTAGGGACTAACACATTGAAAGAACATTTTAAGTTGATAGAAAGAGCTGCTTTAGGAAATCTTGAAGTTTTCCTCGATGAAAGAATTCAAGCACTTTGGATTTGGTGACCTTTTACAGTCCCTTCTAAAGTTGAGATTTTGAGGTTCTTTTCAACATACTGTACCTCGTTATGCCATATTGGCCTTTCTTATTTTGCATTTTGGTTGCACCAAGATCTTAGCATATACCATGTCTCTAGTATATAAGAATATTAGAAGAAAGGTCAATTAACTTGATAAGCCCTAATAATGATTAGGGAGGCTATTTTCTCTGTGTTTTTTGGCAAGTAATACAACGTATCTTATTTTTTAATGTGCAAATTAGTTTTGAGATTGTGTAATTTAGGGGGAAATGTACTTTTGAACTTAATGAACCTGTTTTCTTTTCTTTCTTGGTAGATTCTGTCAAAATCTCAATTGCCGTCTGAGAATAGAGAAGGTAAAGTGTTGTGGACTGGTTGGTTCTGCTGTATATTTGGAGACAGTCTTCTGGAGACTGTTTCAGAAGATTTCACCTGTCTACCCTTATTTCTTGCAAATGGAGCAGAGACTAATACAGCCATGATTGGAACCTGGTTTCAGAAAACTTTTGACTGTTATTTCAGTCCCTTAGCAATCAATGCATATAATCTTTCCTGGATGGCTGCTATGTGGACTGCATGCAAAATGGACCATTATATGGCTACTACTGAATTTCTTTGGTCTGTACCCTGTAGCCCTCAACGTCTGGACATTTCTTATGCCATACATCCAGAGGATGCAAAAGCTTTGTGGGACAGTGTCCACAAAACACCTGGGGAAGTTACCCAGGAGGAAGTTGACTTGTTCATGGACTGCCTTTATTCACATTTCCATAGGCATTTCAAAATTCATTTATCAGCCACAAGATTGGTTCGTGTTTCAACATCTGTAGCTTCAGCACATACTGATGGAAAAATAAAGGTTAGTTTGAACAAATCTAGTTAAGTAATTTTTCCTTATTGTTGCATAGATTCCAAAATGTATGGTGATTGTATTTTCCACATTGAAGAAACACATTTGAATGTCTGCCAATTCAAGACAGTAGAGAAATTTTATTTTATGCTTTATAAATGATTTACTAAAAACTCTTCAACCTTCTAGATGCATTTTTATAATGGGAGGATACTATATGCTGTGTGCTACAGTTTTGGCAATAATATGAATTATCTCTAGTAACTTTGAAACTTTCAAAATTGTTTCTTGTCAAACTTGGAAATAATTATCAGAGTAACAGTGGATTTTGTGTGTTAGATGAGAAAATTACAGCCAGAAACACAGAACTAAGATATCATCTTTATATTTCAGGCTTTTCTATCCCTACTGGGAAAGAAATAATACAGATATTGTTTTAGTCTCTATGAAGTCCTTATCAGAGGAAATATCAGAAATAAACTGAGAGTAGGTACTTAAATATATTAAAAAATTAATATATTTAAAATATACTAAAATACAGCTAAAGTAAACACTCAGTGAATATTGGTCTTGTTGCTATTCCAGAAGTTAAACATATCTTAACTCTAATCAGTAGAGCATCCCTGTAGTTAGGTGTTTTATCCACATTTTATTTTTAAAACAAGGAAACTTAGGCCAAGATTGGTTTAAGTGACACATGCAAGATAGCTCAGTAAGAGGAGGAGTCAAGATTTGAATGCTTATCTCTTAGGTTGCAAGAAGTTCATACTCTGTTCATAAGCACTGTATTAGTGCTTTTCAAACTGGAGGTCACAGTACAGCACTAGGTTGGGAAATAATTTTGATGGGAAGTTACCAGTTTTAAAAAACAAAAGAAAGAAATAGAAAATATAAAAATGAGAGTGTATTGCATATGGTAAGGATATACATTTGCTTGTACTGGGTCATGATGTTAAATTTATTTCTTACTATGGTTTGCAGTAAAAAATTTGAAAGATTATACTATGCCGTATTACTTTGACATTATAAAGAAAAAAATTTACATTTTAGTACCTCAGAATTCAATGTTCATGAAGTCCTTATATATTTTAAAATTTGGTTTCCATATGCCCACACTCTATTAATAAACCGCATTTAAAAACTATTTTATATAACATGTTCTTATCCATCTATGAATATAAGGATGTTCCTTAAACACATTTATTTTATCTGGTCTATTCTAAATCTAAGAGCCTCTCTTAATGAGGTAAGATAGTAACTGTGCGTCCTAGGTTCAAATGATGCCATGATGTTGCTAACATTTATTAGGCACTAACTTGTACCAGGCAATATTAAGCATTTTATGCATGTTGTTTCATTTAGTTTTCATAACAACTTATTTATATAGGTTGTAAAGAGGAAACTGTAGCACAGGGGATAAGTCGATTCCCTAAGATCACACAGCTAACCAGTGGAATCGGAATTTGCACCTAGTCACCTGACTCAAAAGCATATGCTTTAAACTGCAATACCATAGTGCCTCTCAAAAGTTTGAAATTAATGTGTTAACCAGGTTTCTGCCATCTGCTTAGTTTCTAAAAGATACCTTTGGAATTGTACATCCCTTTAAGAAAAAGGAAGCTATGGAACCTCTTTGTAGAAAATGTAGATACTTTTTTTTTAAAAGATTTTATTTTTCCTTTTTCTCCCCAAAGCCCCCAAGTACATAGTTGTATATTTTAGTTGTGGTACGTGGGACGCTGCCTCAGCACGGCCTGATGAGCAGTGCCATGTCCGCCCCCAGGATCTGAACTGGTGGAACCCTGGGCCACCAAAGCGGAGCGTGCTAACTTAACCACTCGGCCACAGGGCCAGCCCCAAGAAAATGTAGATACTTAATTTGCATACAAGTCCAAGGGGTTCATAGATAGCCCTTCCTCCCCCTCACTCCTTAGGCAGATGGTCAGTCCCGCCATGGAAGCCAGGATAAATAAGAACTCTTGTCTAATTACCTCTAAGCACCATTGACTAATAGTTGTAAATTTAATTAAAGTTAGTAGTCTTCATTAAGTGAAATCTATTTGACTTAGAGCAGCAATGGTTTGGGTTCATATTTGTATCTTAGCTTGCAGATATGGAATTTAAAATAAGCCTGGAATATTTATCAAATATCAAACTGCTTTGTTATCATTATTAATTCTATTTTAATTTTAAATGTCTTTTTTTTTTTTCAGATTCTGTGTCATAAATATCTTATTGGAGTGTTGGCATATTTGACAGAACTGGCAATTTTTCAAATTGAGTGAGGCCTTGTGGGGACGATAAGTTATGGATTATATACCTTTTTCTCACTGATTATTTGCCTGATTCCTGTACTGAGAGGGACTGCAGGAGAAATGAGCATCTATCTCTACATCTGTTTTCCTCACAGTGCCTTTAGAGTTGCCCAGATGGAAGCCACGGAGGATCTCGAAGAACAAAGAAGGTGGTAGTGGAGGACCCACAGCCAGGTGGTCATGTAATAGTCATGATCTGGGATGCCAGTCTCTAGAAAAGGCCAACTTGTTAATTTTTGAGCCATCTTTCTATAAAATATATAATGTTTATTATGTCAAACTTTTAGGGTTCAAATGAGATTAATATTGAGTAGTTCTGATTTGGGTCTTTAAAACTTTTAATCCCTTTGAAGCATTTTAGACTTGCATTCAGAGAGAATTTCTCTCTTCTAAAGATGTATTCCTAGCATCATTTTGCTGTGTAAAACTGGCAGAGTCCTCTCTGAAGGAAACTAAAGACTAATATACGTTTTTAAGCCACTAATATGCTTCTGTTTTTATTACTGTTCAATTCTTATTGCAATGTTGAATTAAATATTTGCTTTTAAAGTGAAGCAGTGTGTTTATCAGTGTCTTGGTGGTAGATCTTTAGTTAATGTCTCAGGAATGGGAAGTCCTATGCTTTTTCCCTAGCACAGAAGTTACAAACCAACAATTATATAGAATCATACAAATTGTAGAGTTGAAAGGCACCTGTGAGCCTCTTTTGAGGGCAGAAATTATCTTGTTTAACTTTCAAGTCCCTAATTTTGCTTTAGTACAATGATTGGTAAGTATCTGTAGGTTAAGTGAATGAATTTTAACCAACTCTTCCATTTTACAGATGAAAACCATGAGATCGAGTAATTTAAGAGACTTGCCCAAGATGTTGTATCTAAATCTCTTTTTACTTACTGAGCGTAGGAAGATTTTGTTTTACTTTGGAAATAATGTTCTTTTAAAATCTTGTTTGAAAGAAAGTAACTTTAATAGGCTGTCATTCTAAAAACAAAGATTAACTTTTGAAATGAGGTATTATTTCACATATACTAGGAACAGAAGAGGTAGTAGAAAAAGCAGGGTGTTGGGAGTCAGACATTCATTCATTCAAGTAATATTAAGCTCCTACTGTGCACTTAGAATTGTATTGTAATAGGCATACAGAGTGAAGACAAAAAAGATCTCTGTCCTGTGGAAGTTGTGTTCTAGTGGAGGAAGGCAACAGATAATTTCAGATGGAGATAAATGCTATAAAGAAAATAAGGCAGTGCAATATGAAAAAGGGTGACTAGGATGGGGCCTGCTTTACACCCAGTTGCCAAAGAAGGTCTCTCTGAGGAAGTGACATTTGAGCTGAGTCCTGAATGATGAGAGAGAACTGGCCATGTGAAGATCTGAGGAAGGCTGTGCTAGGTGGGTGAAACTGCAAGAGCAAAGGCCTGGAGATAGATAAGAGCTTGGCTTATTTGAGGAACAAAGGAAGTCTGTGTGGCTGGAGCATAGTGAGTAAGGGTGGAGTAATATGAGATGAAACGAAGAAATTGTGCAGCAGAGACTTCTTCCATGGTGTTAGGTCTCCCAGTTTTTGACTGGGCATGTAGCTGTCCAGAATCAAGGCATTTTCCAGCCTTCCTGATAGGTAGGTATAGTCATATGGTAAGTTCTGACCTATGGCATGTAAAATGCAAGTGTTATGTAGAGTCTCCAGGAATCTTCCTTATAAGATAGCAGGCATGTACCCCTTGCCCTTTTCTTATTCTTCTTCCAACTTTGCTGCTTGGAACAAATATAATGACTGGTACTTTAGCTTCTGTTTGAGGTCACAGGGATGAGGGTCGGGTCCTAGGGATGATGGATCATGGCATGGAAGGAGTTTGTGCCCTGTGGACTTCTTGAAGCTGAACTCCAGTGCCAGCTTCGGGCGGTCTTCCTCCAGACTTATGTCAGAGAAGTAAACGTCTATCTTATTTAAGGTGTTGTTATTTTGAATCTTTTACTCGTAGCCAAACCTAATCCTAACTGATACAGAGAGGTAGGATCCATATCATCTAAGTTTTTATAGGTACTGTGAATAAACTGGATTTTATTTTAAATGCAATGGGAAGCCACTGAAGTTTTCAGGAGAGTAATATGACCCAATTTATATTTTATAAGATTTTATAAGATATGAGAGAAAATGGTTTGTAGGTAGACAAGAGTGGAAGAAGGAAAACAGTTAAAAAGGTTGTCAGAAGTGGCATAATCTCTATGGAGAAGTTAGCAATATCTAGCAAAAGTATGTGTGATTTACTTTTTGATAAGCAATCCCACTTACAGGATTCTGTCCTTAGTATCCACTGGCAAAAATCCAAAATGAAGCATGTACAAGGCTATTTATTACAAAATTATTTGTAATAGCAAGACTAAAAACAATCCAAATGCCCATCAGAGGGGGACTGGTTGAATAAATTATGGTATTGCTGCACAATGGATTAGAACCATGCAACTATGAAAAGGTTTGAGGAAGATCTCTAATACTGCCATGGAGTGATCTGTAGGATATATTTTTAAGTAAAAGAGCATGATTTGGACAGAGTATATAGTTTGCTATCTTTTATGGAAGGAATGGGGGAAATATGGGTGTGTGTGTATTTTCTACATTTTCAAAAAATAGTGGAAGGATAAACTGAAAATGAATAAAAGTGGTTACTGATAGGGGAAGGGAAGGAACTGGGTAGAGGGGACAGCAATGAAAGTTAAGACTTATTTGAATGTTTCTTGTTTATAGTTTGGAACCATGTAAGTGTTTTATATAATTACGAAACAAAACTAGATCAAAAAGAAAAAAACAAAGCAATCCTTAAAAATTGAAAACAAATCAACATAACTATATTAAGTACATGCCATAATCACACAAAGAATTATTTTTAGTATCTTTAAATTTTAGTATTTTGACTGTACATTGTCAATGGGCTATATCCTAGCAGGAAAGGAATCTTAAATTGCATTCAGTTATCTTGTTATTAGTAATATTGGTATTGTTATTTTACCACTATTTATAGTTAAGATAAAACATACGTAATTATAACAATGTTAGGAACCAAGATTTTCACTGTAAGAGAAAAGATATAGGATTATAAAATCTAGTTAGCTAAGTAGAAAATCTGTAATATTAAATTTGAATTGGAAATATCAGAATGAACTCATTTATTTTTAAAATGTAAAAGGTTTTGATTTTGATGAAGTCCAATTTATCACTTCTTTTCTTTTGTTTCTTGTGCTTTTGGTGTTGTATCTAAGAAATCATTGCTTAACCTGAGGGGCCAAAGATTTACTTCAATGTTTTCTTCTAAGAATTTTATAATTTTAGCCCTTAAATTTAGGTCTGTAATCCATTTTGAGTTAATTTTTATGTATAGTGTGAGGTAAGCATCCAAATTCATCATTTTGCCTATGAATATTCATTTGTTCCAGCACCATTTATTGAAAAGACTTTTATTTCCCCCTTGAATTGTCTGTCCCTTTCTTAAAAATCAATTGGCCATAAATATTTGAGTTTACTTCTGGACTTTTTTGGGGGGGCAGTGAGGAAGATTTGCCATGAGCGAACATCTGTTGCCAATCTTCCTCTTTTTGCTTGAGGAAGATTGTCAGTGAGCTAACTTCTGTGGCAATCTTCCTCTATTTTGTATGTGAGATGCTGCCACACCATGGCTTGATGAGCGATCTGTAGGTCTGCACCCAGGATCTGAACTGGCGAATCCTGGGCTGCTGAAGTGGAGTGTACGAACTTAACCAATATGCTGCTGGGCTGGCCCCCTGCTTCTGGACTTTTGATTCTGTTTCATTGATCTGTATTTCAGTCCTTATGCCAGTACCACAGCATCTTGATTACTGTAGCTTTGTTAGTGCATTTTGAAATCAGCAAGTGTGAGTCTTCCAACTTTGTTTTTTTTTTTAAGGTTCTTTTAGCTGTTCTGGGTTTTTGCATTTCCATAAAAATTTTAGGATCATCTGGTCAATTTCTGTAATTTTGATAGTTGAATCTGTATATCAGTTTGGGGGAGTTTTGCCGTCATAATATTGTCTTTCAATCTATGAACATGGGATATCTTTCCATTTACTTACATCTTTCAAAATTTCCTTCAATAATGTTTTATAGTTTTCAGTGTACAAGTATTGCACTTTTTTTTTTGTTAAATTTTTTCCTAAATATTTTATTCTTTTTTATGCTGTCGGGAATGGAATTGTTTTCTTAACTTCACTTTTGGATTATTTGTTGCTAGTGTATAGAAATACAATTGATTTTGTATATTGCTATTGTATACTGTGACCTCCTTAAACTTGTTTATTCTAGTAGTTTTTTCAGTGAATTCTAGGATTTTCTATATATAAGATTCATGTATTTCTGAATAAAGACAGTTTTATTTCTTAATTTCAATCTGGATGCCTTTTATTTCTTTTTCTTGCCAGATTGCCTTGGCTAGAATCTCCAGTACAATGGCAGATAGAAGTGGTGAGAATGTCCAGTCTTAACTCTTCCTGATCTTAGTGGGAAGGATATTTCACCTTTAAATATAATGTTACCTGTAGGTTTTTCATAGATGCCCTTTATCAGGTTAAAGAAGTTCTCTTCTATTCCAAAGTTACTGAGGGTTTTTATTATGAATGGATGTTGGATCTTGTCAAATTATTTTTCTGCATCTATTGAGATGATTCATGATTTATTTTCTTTTACTTCAAACTACACATTTCAGGGGGCCTGCCCCATGGCTGAGTGGTTAAGTTTGCATGCTCTGCTTCAGGGGCCCAGGGTTTCGCCAGTTTGAATCCTAGGTGTGTACACGGCACCACTCATCAAGCCATGCGGAGGCAGCATCCCACATGCCACAACTAGAAGGACCCACAACTAAAAATACACAACCTTGTACTGGGGGGCTTTGGGAAGAAAAAGTAAAAATGAAACCTTAAAAAAAAAGAAACTACACATTTCAGTTCTGGTTTCTGGTTCCACACGTAAGGAGCTTGGAAGTCATCACTGTGTCCTAACAACAAGTAAAATGGTGAACAGATGGAAAAATCAACAACTCTTCTTAGATCTGTAAGAGATGGAAGGACACAGAGCAAACTGCTGCCCTCAAGATTGGAGAGACGAACAGGTGACTACAGTAAGCCAAACATGGCTTACTGGAGTAGTGACTCACA